TCTTATAAATTAAAAATAAGTTTAAAATGATCATTTTTAGTCTCTCAAATTTTAATATATGTATATTTTTCGTCCATTCACTTTAAATTAAGGAACTAAAAATGTGTATATTTAGATAAATTTAACAAAATAATTGATAAAAAGACAAAAAAAAAAAGGAAAAATGGACTAAAAAAGTACATAAAAAAGTTAAAGGATAAAAATTATAATAACATTAAAGTTGAGGATCAAAAATGGAATTTACCCTTTTAAATTTGAATTGAGTTATACGGACACAGTTGCAGGTTATGAAAAGCCCCTAGCCCAAAACGACGTCGTTTTGGGCTAGGGGAATCCTTTTTTTTTTTTAATTTGCAGTGTGTACCGGCCGGTACACCGAAATTCTGGTCCGTACACCAGATTTTGACCGAAACGCTCGAAATTTGACCGAAACAAAAACTGACGTTGTACCGTTTCGGTCAAATACCAAAACCGGTACGTACCAACCGTACCGCAAGTACGGTACGATATTAACTTTATTGCTTTAGAGGCACACTTGTACACTATTACAGTAAAGAAATTAAATTTTTTAATATTAGTCTAAAAAGTTAAACTAGAAACTTGATTCATCAATATTTATTTATTAATAAAATTATATTATTATTATTAATTAATAAAAAAATAAAATTAATAATTCAAATAATTTAATAATAATTTCTTTTTAACCAAAATAAGAGAATTTAAATTTAAAATATATGATACATAAGTAAAATATAGTAAAATTAAAAAATAAAAAGTTATTACTTTTTGTTATGTAATTTAAAATAAAAAAATAATGAAAGAGAGAAAAAAAAATATAAAAAGAAATCATTACATTGGATATTTTAACGCTAACGAACAAGGACGTAACCAGGGTAGGACCTATTTGGTTTGTTTGGTTAAAACACATTTTTGGTTCCTCAACTTTGATATAGATTCTTGTTTAGTCCCTTAACTAAAGAAATTCCTTTTTTTTTTTAATCTATAAAGTTTAACTTTTATTAACCTGTTTTGGTCTTTCTGTCAATTTAGTGTTGACAAGAGATAATTTTTTGTTTTCATTACTCGTGGCTGCGGCGATTCTT